CTGTTTTCCTTCTCTGACTGTCCCACTCCCAAATGTATGGTGGAATTTAATTGCTATTGTAATAATATTAAAATTCGGAATCTTTAAGATAATAAAATTGTCTTCAGAGTTGTCTGCCCTCAAGAATGGACTACTGTCTATGTTAGTTTCATCACTGTGCTAGAATAACATGAACAAATAAAAAAGAGTCCTTGCTTACTTGGCCTCAGAATTCAGAGGTTTCTGTCCATTATCATAGGAATTGCATATGGAGAGCAACTCAGACTGTGGAAGCAAGCAACAGAATGATGTTAAGTCTGCCCACGCAGCTTTTTGTTTTTCCTCAGCCGATCAGACAACAAGGCTCATATTCACAAAGCTCCCTAGTTTCTTACATAATCCCCACAAAGACCCAGAGACATGCTTTACTGACTTCCTCGCACTTCTCAAGTCAAATCAGCGCTGAAGATTAGGAATCACAGGTTCATCAGCATCCCTTGTCAACTTGACATCCAAACACGTCTCTTTAAACCAGCACTTTCAACCTTCCTAGTGCTGCGTGACCCTTTAATACAGTTCCTTATGTTGTGGTGACCCAAGCCATAAAAGTATTTTATTGCTACTTCATAACTGTTGGTTTTGTTATTGTTGTGAGTCATAATGTGGATATCTGATATGCCAGCCCGAAGGGGTTGCAAGCCACAGATTGAGAACCACTGTTCTGTCCCTGGTCCCCAAAGAGCTCATGCTGGTCTCATAACCAGTCCATCCTTGTCCAAAAGATCCCATAGCTACAATATTTTTCAAAATACTCTGAGATTCAGGATGCTATGAATTTAATATGAAATGACCCTACAAGGCTCAGGTTTCTTCTCATCTACAATTTGTGGTACTATGTGAAAGCCATGGTGCCTTTAGGAGTTATGGCCTGGCTTGCAGTTATCTAGAAGGGCTTTGAAGTTGTAGCTGAGCCTTAGTACATCCTTTTGTTCTCTGCCTCCTGTTATTAGTTTCTTTTCATTTTCTTGATAAAATAAAGGAAGAAATTTTTTCCATTAATTAATTTATTTACATCTCGATTAGAACTTCCCCTCCCTCCCTCTCCTCTCAGTTTCTTTCTCTCAGCTTCCTTCTGCTCCCTCTCTTTTTCTTCTCAGAGAAGGGGAGACCGCCCATGGAGAGTAACCTGCCTTGGCATATCAAGTAGGACTGGGCAATATCATCTTCTACTGAGGCTGCTCATAGACAGCTCAGTCTCCATGTGGGTTCCCTAGTAAGGGGAGAAGAGACAGTCTCTGACATGAACTCGGTTGTCTGCTCCTTGATCACTTAGAGGAAGAGAATCCAGATAGTCCTAATGGCACCTGGTAGGCTATGGTCAGACAGTAGGGGAGAAGGACCTCCCCTATCAGTGGACTAGGGAAGAGGGATAGGGGAGGAAGAAGGAGGGAGAGTGGAACTCAGAGGAGATGAAGGCGGGGGCTACAACTGGGATACAAAGTGAATACACTGTAAAAAAATAATAATAAAAATTTAAAAAACAGTAAAAATTGCCACAACCAACTCAAAAACAGTTAAAAATACTTCTTTTTAATTTTTATTTTTTATATTAATCACAGGTTATTTACTTTATCCCAGCCATAGGCTCCTCCCTCATTCCCTCCCAATCCCACTCTCCCTCCCTCCCTCATCTCCTCTCTGCCCCTTTCCAAGTCCATTGCTAAGGGAGGTCCTCCTCTCCTTCCATCTGACCCTAGCTTATCAGGTATCTTCAGGACTGGCTGCCATGTCCTCCTCTGTGGCCTAGCAAGACTGTTCCTCCCTTGGGGGTGGGGGGAGGTAAAGGAGCCAGTCATTGAGTTCATGTCAGAAATAGTTCCTGGTCCCCTTACTAGGGAACACACTTGGTTACTGAACCCATGTACCATGGGCTACATCTGAGCAGGGGTTCGAGGTTATATCCATACATGGTCCTTGGTTGGAGAAACAGTCTCATAGAGGGCCCCCGTACCCTGATATATTTTGTCCTTGTGGAGCTCCTGTCCTCTCTAGGTCATACTAACTCCTCTTTCTTTCATATGATTCTCTGCACTCTGCCCAAGTTTTGGTTATAATTTGCCTTCGTCGTGTGTTTTATCACGGCAAAAGAAAAATTAAGACAAGTGGGAATGAACTCCTGTGAGGCAGAGGGGCTCCAAAGGAGGAATGTTGTTGTGCTGCCCTGCACTAGAGTTTTTAAATTATTATTATTATTATTATTATTATTATTATTATTATTATTTACAGTTTATTCACTTTGTATCCCAGCTATAGTCCCCTCCCTCATCTCCCGGTACTACCCTCCCTCCTTCTTCCCCTCTATGTTCCTCACCTAGTCCACTGATAAGGGAGGTCCTTTTCTCCTACTATCTGACCCTGGCCTATCAGGTAATCATCAGGGCTGTCTGGATCCTCTTTCTCTGTGGTCTAGTAAGGAAACCTCACCGGTGGAGGGGGGGGGGAGTGATCAAAGATCAGGCAACCAAGTTCATGCCAGAGACATCCCATACTCTGGTTTCTTTTCAGATCACATAAATCTTTTGCCTTGCACTTGACTTTTGATGGAACATATGGCAGCAATTGGATGAAGGCTGAGGTCATCCTTATTAGGATTGGTCCTTTGTAAGTCCATCACAGGTTAGGCCCTTATATCTGTCACAATACCTCTTCAACCTGCCCAACAGAGTAATGACCCAATAAGGGAATGGTCACATGTAACTAGCTCATCTCCATCATAAGCCCCACTGGGACTGCCTAAAGGAGGTTTAATTCCCATCTCATTTTTTATTAGTGAATAAAATACACATTTATGAATATCTGAGCATATGTTTGTATGTTATATAGACACATGCATTAAAGTGGCAAGAAATGATTATTTGGCTTATTTTTTTATTAATTATCACTTTTTCCACATACAGTTTAACAGTATCTCACATTTTGTCAATAAAGAATTGTATACAGTGCTTAATTAGCATTTATCATCACATACTATTTCAGAAGCCAGAAGAAGGTATTGGATCTCTGAGAATAAGAGTCAAGACAGTTGTGAGCTGCCATGTGGATATTAGGAATTAAAGTCAGGTCCTCTGAAAGAGCAGCCAGTTCTCATAACTGTGGGGCCATCTCTCCAGATGAACAACTTACTTTTCAAATAAAAATGATATTACAGGACTGGAGAGATGGCTCAGCATTTAAGAAAATACTCTGTTCAATTCCCAGCACTCACGTCAGGGGGCTCACAACTGCCTATAACTTCATCTCCAGAGGGATCTGATTGTCAGGTCTCAATAAGAACCTGCACATGCATGCACACAACACACAACACACACACACGACTAAAATTAAATAAATCATACAAAAATAATGATAGGAAATGAAAGCCACGCTGACAAAGAAAGCCCATCCTCAGAAGAACTCAAACTTCAAACGCACCTCAAAAAAATCAGCCAGCATCCAGAATATGCTATAAATAGAACCCCGGTCTACTGTGGGTGTTACTGTATGTCCTGCACAAATTCATATGCAGGACCCTAAGCTCCAAGCATGACTACTGGGGAGAAATGGTGTTTAGGAGTATTTAGGGTTAAGTGAGGTCAGAAGGGCAGGATGTATCCCAATTATACTGTGGTATTATAAGAGAAGAGCAACTCCACCAGAGGACACGATAAAGCACCAGCTAGAGCCCTTGCAGTAAACTAAGCCTGCAAGATACTTCATTTTAGATTTTTCTGCCTCTAAAACTGAAAAAAAGAAAGTCGTCTATTGTGTAAGCCACTTTGTCCGCAGCCCCATGTGGCTGATACCATAAAGGAACTAATTTATGGCAGAGTAAGTCAATACAGTCCTAAATTTCTTTCAGTCTAATCCTAGATGAGCCCTAACAACCTCCTAAGGTCTCACTGTCTGATCCCACCTATCTTACAGACTTAAAAGATTTTACCTTGAATAAATGGAGTGCAACGAGGTACCATGGAAAAATCAGAGCCAACTCTCTCCTCTCCTCTCTCCTCTTTCTCCTCTCTCTCTCAATGTCACTGTAGGACTAATGGTGCCCAAACTTTAACTCTGTCTTACATTAAATCTAAATATAACCTATAACTTTATTCACTTAAAACTCATCTTTAAAGTGTAGAGAAGAATAGTGGTCATCGTGTTAGGAGGGTACTGAGAGGTGGAATAGAGAGAGGACAGGAAACAGAAGCAGGTAGAAGAGAGGATCAAGCTCTCCTGTCCTATAAAGTAGTGGGATACGTTTAGTTACAATAATTGTATACTTCAAAATAGCTGGAACACAGAACTTTGAATGCTCCTAACAAAAAGAAATGATAAATCTCTGAAAAGATAATTACCCAACTTGAACATCACACATTTTGTATTTCAGTTTTGGTTTTGTTGGTTTGTTTTGTTGGGTTTAGGCTTTTTTATACTCCCTATGTGATCTAGCCTGGCTTTCAACACTTGATCATTCTGCCTGAGTGTTAGGATCATAGTCATGCATTGCCACACCTGGCTGTATACGGTATACTTGTATTGAAACATATTATAGGGCATAAATATAAACAACTACTGTGTTGTCACTAATTTTTTAAGTGAGAAGAAATTAATTGGGAATGTAGCTCAGTAGAAGAATGTTTGCCTAGCATGTGCAAGGCCCTGGATGCAATTCCCAGCACCACCAAAATGAAATAAAATTGGCTCACTTAAAAAACTTAGCTACATGCTAAACAATCACAGGTTGGATAGTTCCAGTTGTATCCATTTTGTAATGCAAAAAGAAATCCATAATCCACAAAACATAGAAAGTAGCCAAAATTATGTTCTAGAATTGTGTACCTCGTATTAGTGATACATATGCTAAATGTGGGGAAATATCAGAGTAGCCCTTGAAAATATGGATATAAACATTTCCTTATATTGGAAGACTTTGTATTTATTAAAGAAAATTATAAATTGTTACATTTGTTATCTTTCATTAGCTTGAATATCTGCTGCATACATTGCTGCTAACATGGGAGAATAGGATTGCCAGCCAATGCGTGGAGTTTTTGTTTTGCCTCTGAGTTAGCATAAATCCCGCTCTCATCATGCCATGTGTTGGTGCCAAATCTTTTGGCGCCATTTAGGTCTGTGAACTGAGAACAACACTTCCTGTAGACTATGGAGTACTCATCTTGACGTGGACAAGGCTATAATGAGAAAAAAATAATAATATTTAGTGACTGAAGTACATATTCAAAAGAGCATACACCAGAAGTTGGTTCTTATGACTAAAGGTGAATTGTCAACAGCTGATTAACTTGGTTTTACCAAATGCCTCAATAAATAAAAATCAAACACCGGTTAGTAATTTATAAGTATTTCTGATCCTGAAAGAAGAATCTAGCTCACAGTAGTTTTATTTCTAAGACTTTAAAAATATGCACTAGTATGCATCTAAAATTTTTCTAAACCAAGTACAAGCATGGAGGCCAATTTAAACACTATGGTAATCTAAGTAAAACTGAAGTAATCAGAGTTAACTACACCTTTTGTTGATGAGTCAGGGTTATTCTGAAGAATAGTATTGTGTATTAAATCTTTAATAATTATTATTAAAGCATGTTCCTTACAGTGATAGATGTCAAGCTCCAAGCTCATTCTTATAAGAAATGTGACTTAAAACAACCAAATATAGTTTAAGATGCTTATCTTTATGCTACTTCAAGCTTCGAAGAAATAAATAAAATGCTTTTGTTGACCATTTTCCAAGGAAGCACTGGTTCTTTATGGCTACACCAGGAGTGATGGCAGGTCCACAGTATAAGGCCTGGTAAAAACTCATCACCTGACTTCTGCTTTAAATCAGTTCCAATTTTAAAGCACCAGAATAAGATTGAAATGAAATCACCCAAGCTATACAATCATTAAAGAACACTAAAGACAAACCCTCATCTTAGTTTTTTTTTTTTTTTATTGACATTTAACCATATGTTTAAACCATATGTTTAACCATAGTGTCTACATATCTGTGGTGTGCCCACTATAGGCTGAGCACAATACTTTAGAGTTGATATCTTCTGGTCCATAATGGAATACTTGGGTTTGAGCCTTACTTCCATTTTGCATATAAGTAAAGACTCTCCTAAAACTCCAGGAGAGCAGGTAAAAGAAGCCAGTGCTAAGTAGCTGAGGCTGGTTAAAAACTAGATCTGATTTAACACCCAGTGTTGCTCCAGAAGCTTTTAGGAGATGAGAAGACTATAAACTATGTTGTAAATAAGATTAATATTTACTAATAATTATCTTTTAGTAATGCTGCTGTTAATCCTAAGCAGCTGTATAACCAAATCACCACACAGACATTGGGTTTATTTAGTTAACCTAGAACACAATGCTGGGCAATAGCTACTCCATCTTAAACCTCCACGCCCTCATAGTTTCCTAACATTTAGATTTCCCACATTATACTTGCTTTTTGTGATATCTTAGGTCCAATCCATCTCTCCACATAGTTCCAAAATCTCTCCTCCAGCTCTCTCTCCTAGCTCTCCTCTTGCTCCTTGTCCTCCCACTCATTTCCTGCCCTCTAGCTCCTCCCCTCTTTCCTGTCCTCTGGCTCTGCTCAGCTCAACATTGTGTCTAGTTGCTTTATTTTTGCCTGTTTACACTAGAGTTGAGACAGGATGCTTAGAATAAGTATCACAATGCAATATCTGGATTGAAACCAGAGAGTGGGGGGGAGAAATCAGGATATGAATGAACAAGGGTAAGGTGTATACATTGCAAAAGAACATTATAACAACAAAACTATGATATCAAAAAGCCACACAATATTCATGATGTTGTTCTAACATGGTTTGGGCTTTCACTCTTGTCACTGAGCAGTATTTTCAGGATGGATGAACTTTTCGTTGGTTGGTTGGTTGGTTGGTTGGTTGCTTGCTTGCTTGGTTGGTTGGTTGGTTGGTTGGTTGGTTGGTTGGTTGGTTGATTGGTTGGAGAGCTAGATGGATGGCTAGAGGAATACATGGATGGATGGTCCATCAACCGGATACAAGAACTTTAAATGAAATTTTGGATTATTGGACAAAACTATTCACTCAGAAGAAGCAGAATCTTTTCAATCCTTTCCTTACTGGATTCAACCAGAAGAGAATTTCAAATGCAAGGTCAGTGTATTCCTTTAGTTTTCTCATAGGCAGAGAAGGTGATGTCTTTTTCATGATTTATTTTATTACATAAATGACAAGTCAAATAGCCTAGAAGAATGTATATGGCAGCATAAATATTAAAAGACTAGAGGTCATATGAGTGGATTCAAGAACTGGTTAGAATTTGGTCTCAGTGACTCACACAGTATGTGGGCAAACAGCTATTACTCAGTACCAAGAAATATAAAAGACTGATGAATGCTATGGCATGAGTAAAAACATTACTCAAAATGACACAAGACAAGCACTTAAAAGGGATGGATTTTGTGGTATATGAATTACATCTCAGTAAGAGTATTTAAAATCAACATAAGACCTCCCCTGTCAATAGATTAAGGGAGAAGTATAGGGAGAGAAGAGGGAGGGAGGGTGGGACTGGGAGGGGATTAGGGAGGGGGCTACAGCCAGGATACAAAGTGAATAAATTATAATAAATAATCAAAAATCAACATATGCATTAACAAGAGTGATTCTGAAGTTAGAGAAACTAGATAAAAGATTGCTTCCTGTTAACTCGCGCTACAGCAAACCTGCCAGTTGAACAAATGAGATAGTAGATAACAGCAACCAGTTTCTGTGGCACAAATACCTCTGCTGATGCCAATTTCAAGAGACCAGAGTGGTCAGAGGACTAAGGAGGACCTGAGCTTAATCTTTGACACAAAATGTTGAGGGTTCACCCCAGGTTGCTCCAAGTTACCTTTCCCAGTATGTAGCTACTAGTGCGAAGCAGGGTGATCTCAGCCAAGAAGCTGGGGTAGACTGTAAGTGGCCTAAGAAAATTGGCATCTTTTCACTCCATTCTCAAGTCAGCAAGTCTTCAAAAATTAGAACAAGCCATTAGGGACCTTGCCAACCTAAATGAGAAAGCGTCTAGACCAGATTGCTACTGGAAGTGCCCTCGTAGCTAGTATATCATAAAATCTAGTTTTTATTTTCTTTTCTTTTCTTTTTTTTTTTTTTTAATTTTCGGTGATGGGTATTCAAACACAGGGTCTCTCCAGTCCCTGAAGCCAACCCTTGTAAAGGCAGATTGGAGAGTCAGGAAGATACAGGATATGTTATTATATTGATCCTTTCCCAAAGTCTAACATTTCAAAAATGTAAGCCAATCAATTGCTTTTACTGCCTGGGTCAGTTTAAGCTGGATTTTATGCATGTTGCTAAAAGCATCTCGACCTAAGTTTTCATGTAACATGAGAATCCCGAGGCCTTTGGAACAAGGAAATGAGTCAAAATGATGGCAGCTGGGCACACACTAGAAAGCAAGAGTGGAGGCAAATGCTGAGTGCATACAGATCAGGCGAGCAAAATCAACATTCAGAAACAAAAGAGGACAAGTTAGAAGGAGCTGGGAAGATCAAGTTTCTTGTTAGGAAGTAAAACAAGGAATTTTCTAAAAGAAAACAAAAACTCTGAGATGGAACATGAGACAAAGCAGGTACCCCACAGTGACTGCAGCTCAGAGCCAAAGGCAAAGCTGAGAGTCCCAAACACAAAAGCAATTAGGAATGCCATGCAAATCAATAAATAGGAGAAGATAATTAAAAAAAATTAATGTTTCCCCCTCAGTGTACAAACCCACTCATTTGCTCAAAGGGAGTTTTAAAATGTGTTTCAAAACAATAGCAGTCAAAGACCAAAGTAATGCTGGCTTGCAGCAAGAAAAACTTTTTTTTTTTAACCCCAGCAAGATATTAGCCTCCTTGAAAATTCACAGGCTTGAGAAGTTAGAACAGCAGTGAGCAAACCCCTGATCATGGGTAACCTTAAATATAAGCAGAAAATATTCTTTACTCTAGTGGCTTACAGAAGACTTGGGAAGAGACAAAAATAAAATCTATCTGGGAAACTTTAGGAAGAAAAGCTGAGTGAATTCCCCATCCCTGTTCTTTAACCATGGATGGTCCCTTTCTTCTGGACAGAAAGAAGTATAGCAGAGAAGAAAAATATAGAAGCCTCTTAAAATTCGTGTCCTATGCTGTCTTTTACTTGATTTGGATGGTCAGGCAGAAGAGATCTCTAAGATTCATAAGTAGCTGCAGCTCTGACAAATGAGTTTGGTAACCCCCTAAAGACCCATCGACCCTAATGAGCAGGAAGTAGACAAAAGAGGTCTACTGCCCCTTTCCCTGCTAATCTCCTGCCTAAGGTTGGGGAATTGGAAAGGAAGTAAAGGTGTTTGAGAACCCTAAATAAAGTGGCTTGGTGAAATAAGCCTACAGGGTTCCTCAGGACCAGAGATTGAGAACATCCTCTTAGTTGCTGGCAGTTGATGGCAGGTTTCTGCTGGGCTCTGCTTTGGGCTACTGGCTAGAATGACTGCCCTGGCCCTTCCTGTGTGCTTTCTTGGGCTTCAACAGTGGTGAGAAAGTTCTGAGAATGAGCATAACACAAAGTGAATTAGGAGGGATGTGCATGGGTTTGAATCAAAGCCATATAACACCATTTCCAGCAGAGACAAAGCTCACCCAGATTCCAGGGTAGGAAATAGTCTGTGCTTCTCAGCAAAGGGCATCCATCCATGTGGGGTGGAACACTGATTATAGTCAATTTTTACACACTTCTTTTTCTCCTCTTTTGGGGGAGAAGAGTAAGTTGGATCAGTAACCTCAAATCGCGGTTGAGTCTGATTATTTTCTAGGAAGACTCACAGTTGTGTGTCTAGAGTTTTACACATAGCTGTTATGGTGTCAAATTGATACAAAGCAAGATGATCATGGAGAGCAGGTGCATGGGCTGAAGCCGAGAGGACAGCAGGTGCAGACCCCTGGATACTATCCCAGTGAGCTGACATGGGCAAAGCATCTGCAAGGGGGAAGCTCACTAGAAATGTATGCCCAGGCCCTTACTGGACACTGGGTACAACCAAATTCAGTCTGCATGCACCAAAATCTCATGCTTCCAGAAGAAAAAAAACCACAGGTGTTTGGAATAAACCATGTGGGTTGCATGATTAGCTTTGGCACAGGGAGCCATTCTGATAAGGGAACTGT